AAATTGGATTCTGGGTCTAGATTACATACACTGGAATCTTTCCATTGATAGATTGAAATAACATGAATGCAAAATATGGTTCATAGTAGAATGGGGTCTTCCCATCTTTTTGCTCAATCACTTAGTGTCTAGATCTAGAATGAAAATGAGTTGTGGACACATCCATTGTAATTTTACCCTGTGATCGCTACTGCAAAAGAATGACTTTACAAAAATAAAAGTACTTATTGACTATGATACTAAATATTTATAGAACAAGAATAGTTGGCCAAGATCAGGCGCTTAGAGGGCTCAGTCTCGGTTCCATTGGATTGAAGATATGATTCAAGTAAGAAACACACTTGAAGCAAAATCTCGGCCTGATGAAGGCATCAACCAGCGGTAGAGGGAAACATCTTTGGGCCGAAGGTAGAAGTAAACGTCAAGAGTTTTTAAGAATCTGATGATAGGATAAGTGGCTAACGTAACAAAAGTTGATTACCCAATTAGCACAAGGGTCATGTCACCATTACATATGTCAGATTTCAATGATATTTGGATGGAAATTTTCCGGAGAACGAGAAGGTCAATATTTTTTCTGAGTATCTCTGATCCCTGTCCCACCGCACTCAACGCATTAGCTCCAGGTACATGATGAGGTACGTGAGATCAATCATGGGGAATGTGACAGCGTTCGGCCGATCTTAGATGGCGTCATGCAGGTGACTCTCACTCAGAGGAAAGTCTCCTTCTGGATGATAGGAGCCAAGCAAGGGACTGGACTTCGCAAGATGTGTAATCTAAATTTCGCCTATTTTGCTATCTTAGTCACTTGAGCGGTCTTCGATGTGAGTATGAAGAGAAAGGAAGGTTGGGGAATGAGCACCTGGTCACATGACCACAAAATATGATCAGCCATCATTCTCATTCTCAGAGAACTTACAAGATAGCCATTATTCAAACTAACGAACGGAGGGTTGGGGAATGAACACCTGGTCAATTGCCCACAAAATTTGATCAGGCCTCATTCTCATTCTCTGAAAACTTACAAGATAGCGACTATTCAAACTAGCGAAAGAAATATTCGGGGAAATCACTGCAAGTGATGCTAGATTGTCAACAGAATCTTGTTGATTCTTTGTCTTGGTTCTTAAATAGCAATCGAGTCTCAGCAATCGACGATTCTGCTTTTTCAACTAATGTCAGTAAATCACGTGCTTGGGAAATAATGACAATCGAGGAATACATTATATTTACCAGTTAAAAATATTCACAGGCTATCCACTTCTAACTCTGAAGTGCAGATATACCAGACCAAGATAATGCCCCCCACTTTTTCAAATCGGAATCGATTGGGCTGTTTACATCACTGTGTGGAGTCAACAGTGAACAGATGAAGCACAACAGATTTCCTAGTCAAGGCAGCCGCGAAATGTAGTTCTCGCTGTTTCATCTTGTCACCAACGAAATCTTGTCACCGCCAGGAGCATCGGGCGACTCTAAGTCTAGTTTCAAAGTTACGGTCCCTCTGCTTGACTTGAATCACATTTAGAAAAATATCGGATAATGCATAATACAGGATTGAAAAAGATGTCAGCGAATGCGCACCTTACTGTGAGTGCTTACGCGTCGACAATTACAGTAGCCACCAAATTTACAGGATATTATGTTCACAGTCAAAATATATGTGTCATCGTATTATTTATATTATTTTAATATAGATAACTATAGAGGGTCCTTTTTTGGATTGGACGTTTATTTTAACGAGGAGTAGTGAAAAAAATTAGGTGTAGACCGTCGAGTTCACACTCTTTCAACTTCAATTAGAAAGTCATAGGTTTATGGACGTTGTCTAGACTGTCTCCGAAGGTTTTCAAAAGAAGACCTTTTTTTCATATCGTCTCATCATGAACCTACTACAAAGAGGTTCATTCTTTATTTCATAGATTTACTCATTTTGGACTCTCAGGAAACTCAGAAAGACTTCCATTTATAGTCTCTTCAAAAAGATTCTGAGCCTACTACAATGCAAATAAACTTTCGGAAAATATCTACTTGGGGCAGCATCACATGTATCTAGTCCTTATCTCTAAGCGCTAGATTCTATAATGCTACAAGGAACGGAGCCGTGTTGAATGAGTTGCCATGTATAGCTTGACAAGGTTAACTCTCTCTGTCAATTTCATTACACCTGTTTTTCAAAGCAAGTTGTAAGAGTTAATGTTCAATTGGAGTGAGCATTATTCGCCTGGAACAGCTTTCTGTATCCACAGGAACGTAGTGTCATCGATGACAGTTACTTCATAGCCCGAGATTTCCATTTGTTTGATAGAATATCGGTGCACTTTGATAATAATCAAACTTTGTATATATTCTTGAGATTACTAAGAGATGATTTACAGCTCTTTATACCTGTGTTTTGTGAGTACCATTGTTCAGTTTTTTATGCAGCTTATCAGGTTATAACAATAAGTTTGACTAAAGAGTGTGTCGAAATATCTACTGAGGGGCACAAACTCATATGTTTAAAAGAAAAAATTTTCGCCCTCAGATTGACGATTTGATATCGTGGATGATAAATGTGCATCATAAAGTCACCGAAGATCATTGGTCTGGATAACTTAAGCTCCGTAAATTGATACTTTTAATATCCATACTTTTAATATAATCCATTTGCTTGCATAACGAAGTCACACACAGTTTCTAAACCTAAAGCCAAAGTTACCTTTTCTAAGTTGAAGTTGAAGATAAGAGGCCGTACCTTCTGAATGATGAGCTCGTGCGTCCAGCTTTTCACTGGTATGCTCTGAAGTTCCGTATGGCTTCTAAAAAATCTTTAGTAGAATAAGAAAAAATCCTTATTTTCCTAACTTTGCTACTTTCCGCGTCGTCTTTGCCCATGAGATGCGAAATGTTTTGACTTTTACATAGCCAAGAAAAAGCCACGTTCTTGTGACCTTCCAAATTGTAATCACAAAATACAGGTTTCTCATGTATATAGAATCTCGTGCTTATGCGATTACTAAATTTGCAATTTCATAGTTTTGATGACCAGTACTGGTCATCTACTACAGGACAACTACTTTGAGAAAATTGAAAATTTTGAATAGAGTCCACCTGATTAGTTGCATCCATTTTTGGAGGATAGTTAGTTTGATTATGTGATACGAGTATAGTATTGATAGAAAATACCTTCTGGGATAATGTTATGGTTTTTTTTTGTTGGAATGTTACACCAGATTATTGCTGGCAATGTAATTTTGATCTTTATATATATATCAAGAATATATAAAGAAAATTAGCAAGAAAAGAAAGAATCCGTATTGTGCATTCTCACCAAATCGTTCACATTTAGATGATTTCTTGTGTTGCTTTACATAAAGTAATACTTACGCTGACAAAAAATATGCTTAGTAATGAATGGAACTGAGCATCGACGATTCACATTGTTCAAGCGTCACTTAATCGACATATATAATGTTCTTTAGTCGATGTTGATGTAGACTATTCAAGTCAATGCTTGTAGCGGGCTGAAGATTCTTATCGCTAATCACAACCTCTAGCGTGCATGATTATTCTCTGCATACTCGTGGCGGCTTACTATAAGTCTATATTTTTCCCAGATTCAGTTTAATTCCTTCGTGTAGACTTGATGTCTAAATTTCGGTAGCGGGTGACTTCGAATCCCGAGGTCGAAACCAAATTTCAAGCTTCGTTTTGCAACACTTTTTCTCTTGTGTGCACAAGTTCGGGCAGTTAAAATGACGGCTAGTATCTCACGCAGACACATGTCATGCATATGACATGTGGCTTAAGGCTCTAGGCATGTGTGCTATAAGCAAAAAGATGTACTCAATGAGGAACTGCTGAAAAGAGCGATTTGGTCCTGTCAAACGTTTCAGCCGTCCACCACGAGTTTACAAATCTTTGATAAGATGGAGATGACATGAGTGCAAGTACGAGGTCATTTTAAACTCTCTAAAATCATCAGCATATCCCAAAGGATTTCTTCCTATCCGTAGTCTCTAAACCCTCTCACACTCCCGAGACTATGGGTACTTCTACCCTTGTCAAGAGTGCGCTTTTTTGTCCATCTTGACATTACGAGAATAGGTTTCTGAGTGTTGTGTAACTTACACAGCCAGATGAAGCACAGAAATGGTTATGAGGATCTGCTCGGAGGCCTCGAGCACACAGAATAAAGCGTTGCATACCTCGAGGATGCGGTCCGTGGGGTTTGTTTTCGTTGATTTGGAGTGGTGGCGGTAGAGTTTTCTTCTCACTTTCCAATCCTATATAATCGGAATAATGTCATCAGCGACATCTATCTCATTCATGATATATGAAATAGCGTGGTGTTATGAACAACTTGGAAAAAGGGAGTAATTCTTGCAAGCATGGAGGACTTATGGAAAAAAATTTGGATGTGTAAAGGTACCATGATAGAGGAGAGGTCCCACTTGGTTACAGATAAAAGAAGACGATATACATTTCTAAAATACTATATTTCAAGATTTACGTGTACTTTTTCTATTTATGACTTGATTTCACTTTGTTAATTAGAGACTAACATGATGCCCACAAGTAAACAAAACTTCGAAAACTCACAAAAATAGAGAAGAATCCTCAGGATTCTAGTTCTAAGTTCTATGACATATCCACTACATAAACACAAGAAACCATGAACATGTTCTATGTATCCAACAAGGATTTTTTCGTTATATTTTCTTATTGTGTAGAATTTTCAACAATCATGTTCAGATTGTTGTTCGAAAATATATGGATGAGGTAAAACTCAAAACTGTGGAGACGAATGCACCAAAAGCATGAAACATAGAAGTAGCTATCTTCTTCACTCTGAAAGTCTACCAAGACACGGGACCTTTCCTTTCCGGGAAAGGCGATCCAGTAAAGTCCTGTATATTTTTAAATCGGTAGACTTCACGTGCTGTACTATCCACTATTTTATTGTTGTGCTAAGCCGAGGTCGACGGCCACAAGAGTGCGAGTGCGACAATTTCTCGCAGCGAAGGAAGTTTCGACTTTACATGATACCGTGATTCGCTTCTACTGCTCTCCGTATATAAGAGCTGACAGATCAGTCTATCGGCAATTAATGGCATTCCCCTGCTCATCTCTACTTGTAGAACTTCAGTACAGCTGACTTTCACGATCGTGATCTCATTTGGATGATTGTCAAGCGGACGACTTAATTCGAGAGCATACTCGTGAAGTTGAAGCATCGGCTCACGGCCTTAGAATCTCCTCGACAGCCATGGATGATCCTTCACATTCTGTTGCACTTGTAGATGGTGGAATTCAGCATCGAGAAATTTCGGTGAGTTTTGAATTGACTGTTATATTCATTGGCAACTTAGAGCTCCAATGATGTCCAGGTTGGCAAATGGTGGTCTCTCAGATCTACTGAACTGGATTGGATTCAGCTGACGCGGTCGATGGCATTACATGTCCAATTGACGACTCAAATAGACACAGATTGAATATTTATTTTGCTTCTAGTTAATTTGCGTAAATATACCAAGAAGAAGTAGAGTTTTGGATTGATGACTTCCAAGAAATCTGCCGGCATGGTTTCAGAAGCTGAATCTCTTCACTCATCTTTCTGTTTTGAAGTTCTTTGTGAAGGTCACCATATGGCTTAGATTTGACAGAAGAGTGACTACTTGCTCTGTGCTATTATTTGCAGACGAAAAAGCAAAGCTTGAACTCTGAGACTAGAACTATTAGGAGAACTTCATCGCTTGAAGCGGCAAGCAGCAAGCTCACAGGTGAAAGGGAATGATACTGTAATCTGATTTTCAGCTCTTTAGAGGGGCGCTTTACAAATTGTTAAAATTCTCGCCTTCTTGTAAATCAGTGATGCTTCTTGATATGAGTGTGAGATGCACTACGAAGACATGAATGTGGTGACTAACATATTTAACGAAATTCATCTGCAGCCAGGGAACGAGATATGATGGAGTTCACTCCCTGGACAGGGCATGCAAAGTTTGAGGATCAAAAGGGATTGGGAGGCTGCAGAATACAGTAGTTTAATTACATGTTTGCGAATACTAGAGAAATCCACCCATCTGGAACTAGAATTTTAGTGGATGCAATGTTGCACAACACGGAGAACGAGGACAGTGTACGATTTAGGATTTTCATATTGATAGATTGAGTCCTTGTAAATAGCAACTTTTACTACCCAGACTAAGAAATGAAGACAACGGCATTAGCACAGGAACCTAGAAATGGACGTCTTTTTTCGGTGTCGAAAAGTGTTAACCTGTGAAAATCCTGACCTCAGGAATCACTAATGATAAAGAGCACAACTTGACGTTGCTCGTGGTCGAAATAACTATTGTAGACGACTGGAACTTTTTTCTCATTTCTATTCCACTTCTAGAGATTCTTCGGATTTTCTCAATCTCATAATTTGAAGAGTACGCGACATTTTATGGTATTCATCCGCTCATCGAGAGCAATCCTCGATATGGTTCGAAGTACTAGAGACGTATTGTAAGAGTGACATGAAACTTGTATGTTCAACAGGACAATCCTTGGCAGTAGGTGTACGTGCAACAACCGCAGTTGAATGTGGAAGGCAGAATGACAGAAGTGACGGATAATAGTTGGCATAAGACCTTGTCTTTGTATCTAAGCCGCAAGTCTCCTCAAAGAATAATCACTGGCGCTGTTGTTCATGTTTATGTCTTGATTTGGCAGTAGTTGGCAATCGAGCTTCTTGACATTGAAAGAAGAATGATCGCGTCACCTAGATGGTTTGGAGAGAAGGACTTCTTAATCGTCACTCATTAAAGCACAATAGAGAGTCTGATGAGATTCTCAGAAAGTTTCAATACCCGAATATCTTAAAACGTTGTAGTTATTCCACTCACTGTGCCTCGATTACAGAGATCAGAATATCATCGCTTGCAATGCCCATCAACTGGGAACAAATTTCATTTGAAGCTACATTCTTCCTATCAAGTCCTGTGGCCTCTTTATACTTTCCCATAACATCGTTTTCAATTGATATTGTGCAGAATTGGCAATTTCGCGGTGAAAAGAATGTCTCTTGACTTTCTTAATTGAATGAATAAAAATCTGCTGATCTTTTCCGGCTAGAGGATGTTGTGTTCCATTTTTCGGACTCCGTTATGTATCCTTGTTTTTCTGTTCTAATCGAAGAGTACGCACGTATGGCAGTATTTGGAAATCGCAACACGTAAAGGCTGTCCATGTTTTGAACTAAAAGATATCAGCCAAATTGATTTCTTCTTCGTAAATGAGGTTAATTAGAAGAAGTCTATGTCCAAAGACATCTGAATCACGTGCCATAGAAGAAGATTCACATGTCCGCTACAAACTGTCATGCAGTAGTGTTTACATAGCTAGGATGTTGGAGATTGAAGAGGTCTATTCTGGTCAACACGTGAAAAGAAGATGCAACAAAACCGTTCTCAGGAGGAAAGACTTTCTTCGATGTCCGTGAGCATGAAACATGTGCTTATACGTGTTGGAATCTGATACTTACATTTCTAGTTTTTACTTCTTCGAGTTGATGTAAACCATTCCTTTTCACGTGTTGGAATCTGATACTTATATTTCTAGTTTTTACTTCTTCGAGTTGATGTAAACCATTACTTTTCACGTTTCGGAATTCAGATCTCTTACACCTACTAAAAGGTGAATCCAAGGAAGGAAACAATGGGAATGACATGAACCTAGCTTCCGTTCAGACAGGAGTACGGCAGCAAGACGGAAAGGTTGTCCTCAATTTTGAGTCTATCTCCTCCGAAGTGATGATACTGCTACAAGCAAAGGCTGATTGCACACACAGTGAACGTCACCGAGATTTCTCATGTCCTTTCTGTGTCTACTCCGTGTGACAAGAATCCCAATCGGCACGTTCTCTTCAGACAACACGAGGGCTAACAAAAGATCGCGATCACACGATCAGCTGGACATGCTTTTGCTAGGGTAGGCTTTCAAAAACTATCACATGAACCTTTGAATTTGTTAGCGAATGCTGCCACCGGTGGCCACTAGTCTAAGAGTTTGACAAGTAGGTATCATAAAAGTAGTCGATCCTGTAAACCCACTATGTGGTAGGGGTGGGCCACAATCTGGACCACAGGTTTCTCGACTGGTGTGTTATCGATTAATTCAAGCAGTTCTCCACTTTTGAGGCTCACAGTGGACCCGCGCCATGATCTTCAGTATGTAGGCTACATGATATCCTAAGACTAAGAGTATCTTGGAGAACCTTAAGTTAGTATCGGAGGCCATGCTACTCAAAATCAGGTAGTCATGACTTCTAAGATATGCAATGCATATATTTATATATATATATATATATATATAAGTCAATAACTTCGAATGTACTGCCTCATATAAAATGCAGTAGTTTTTCAGATCTCTTTAAAATGGTCTGAAGAATTGCATGAGAGATCTCAACAAAATAGCATCTAACCAGTGGTAGAAAAGAGATAAATAGTTGAAAAACGTGACCAGTATGAAAGTTGGGGACATGATTCATGAGGAGTTCGGAAGATCCGAGTGAAGCGAATCTATTATTTAAAAGAGATTCTGATGAGATAGAACAATTTGCAATTAATCAACTGATTCCTATTAGAATAAATCTCATTCCATATAGGGAAAGACTCTACAAGATACTGAAATAAAAGCCTACAAGAAAGCGTAGGATGGGAGACATATTTTACCATATGGAAGAATTTACAAAAGACAAGAGTCACCTACCTAATTAATGTGAAGCTGCTCCCTACTTTCTTTGATCTGCTTCAGGCTCAAATTTTGCAGTTGCCTTGCATGAGAGAACCGTTGGAACATACTCCAATGATGAAAGCATTTCATGTTCAGCCTCAAGAGGATCTCATGGGAGAAGATCCAGCAGTATTCAGAAGGGGTTTAATAGATCTAGCTACAAAAAGTACTTTGGCTCTTGCTTACCAAAGGCAACATCCTCAGTCCAGCCTGACGATGTTGAAATGCTCTTGTGAATTTTTCACAGTATTCGTAGATGTCACCAACATGTCCAGACTCTTGAAAAATCTCAGAGAGTCGGTTTTCGTCTTTTATAAGCCCTTAATTCCCTTGGAGAAAACTGAAAATGACTTGCATAGTTATAGGCTGGCTTCAACAAATTCAATGGTGACATTACCGGTTTGCACTTTACTTCACGGCTCAAAGTTTCGCGAAAGGGTTTCAATTCTGGCCCGAATCTATCAAGTCAAGTTTTTATTACCGTAGTATAATTTGTTCCACAAAGCATGACATGTACACTCTCACTTTTAGCAAACAGATCTCGGGTCGAATCCTTTCGGGAAGAACAAGCTAGATAAACCGAAAGAAGGCCAACTTAGAATATTGATATAGGCTTGCAAGCCTATATCAATATTCTAAGTTGGCCTTCTTTTGGTTCAGAATTGAAGAGCTTCTTTCGAATTGTTCGGACTTAGTGTGTTATCCAAATGGTTCGCAACTCAAAACACCAAGCCCCACCACAGACTTGAACTCGTCCATCTTTGTCATCTTTCACCCTGAAGAACAAAGTAGATACGAAACAATAAGGACAAAAGTGATAAATGTATATTTTCTTCATGGATCAAGACTCGCTAAATGAAAGATGCCTTATTAGAGTTGCACTTTTCTTGCAAAGATTTGTTAACCATGTTTCAATACTCGGTTGGGTACACACACACAAATGTCACATTTCATTCGGAAACGACCTAGTTCGATTGTTTCATGATATGGATTGCAGATATGCGACTGAGGATGACGCATAATGTTTTCACACCTCCTGATATTAGCTTTTGATGAGGCATATCATGTTATGCATGAGAAGATTATCTCGTATTAACATTATTTTAACTGTCAATTAGGAGATTGATTGTAATACACTTGTTTTGGTGTATGACAGTTTTTGTATTGTGGTCATTGACAAAACATCGATGTAATTTGTGATGTGTATCAACCCAATAACTATCACGACGGACGTAAAGATTAGCTTTTAGATAATAGCCCAGGTGCACAATCCATTAGACAATCCAATCAGACACATCCATTAGAGACTAGAGTGTTGTGAGGATACCGAGGGTTGAAGTTGTAGAGTTTGAATTAGAGCTCTGGAAAGTGCCTCTTTGAAGCTAGAATGACAAACTGCAGGACTAATGGAGACTAACTAGTTCAAAAAACGTTGAATCTTAAAAATAAAAATTGAGTTTGGCTTGATTATAATATGACCCTTTGTGCTGATCAAGGATATGTTCTTATGGACGAGTCAAAACTATTAAAATTTTGAACAAACATTTAACCATGTTTGGGACAATGCTATTATCATTTTCATCCAACGATATCCATTCTTTGCCTTTAAGAATATGGAATGTGCTCCACCACATGTCGAACATTTCATCCTAGCAACTGATCATTGTTAAAAAAATGATGCCAATGGTGATGACTGACATCTTCATCACTCTTTTGAGATGTTAAAGGTTTTCCATCTTACTTACTGCAACAACTTCAAGTTTGTGTGGACTGGTGATGTGAAGAACTAGATATAGTCAGCTAATCATTGCTGAATCCAACTGTCACCACTATCTCTCTTAATAAAATGACATTTCTCATCCTAGGTTGAAATTTCTTGTCTAGTAATTATTACCAATATTGGATTGTTTCTGCTCCAATCATCCCGTAAGCTACACTCATTGAAAAAATGGCTTTGAATATATGCCTTCTCAAAATTCTTTGGAATTTTCTGCATAAATTTTTGCAATCCTCTTAACTTGTCAGTACTCATCCCTTCATATTTTGCACTTGATTGTGCACCTCCTTAGTATTTTTACTTTATTAAGAAGTTTGAACCTTCTTAAAATTTCCAAGCTTGGTGAGTTGCAATTGTGTCATCAGTGCTTGGTATAAAGAATAAACTTCTATCACCAAATATTAGTCTTGACGTTGATGAAGACAAAATTGATTTCAAAATGTTAAAGAATAGAATAGGATATGAAAATATAATATTTTTGCAATTATGATCTTCATCAAAATTATTTCAGGTTGCTAATATAAATATATCATTCAACTTTAGCCAAACTTCAAAATTGCAATATTTTCTTGTTGTTGTACTAAAAAATTCGTAATTTTTTATTTATATATTGATACTTGGCAAAAAATTTAGATCACTAAGTGCATCACAAAATTATATGCAAATTTTCACCAAATTTTTTTTCAAAACTTTCAAACAGTCACTCTTATCTATTTTCAATTTCTTAAAAATGTAAATGTTGACATTCAAAATATTTTCCAAAATATTTTATCTAATACAGTTATCTTGCAAAATTAATTTAAAATAATGAAGTAAATTTGAAACAGTTATTGCAATTTTGTTATTTTTATCTTGTGTATCAATTTCAAACTACCACCCAACATT